AGCATCTCGCTTGATGGCACTTGCCTGCACAGCGAGCGCCCTCTCAGCCCGTGCCTTGCTCGATTTGGATCCCACCGTGGGTTCAACCCCTGGTCGGGGGACTTGTGGCAGTCGAACTGCGGCACTCATGAGACGAGTGAGTAGCTGTTCACCCCTCTGCCTGAAAGAAACTCTTAGACCAATGCGCGTCTTCCACGGTGCATCCACGATCGGATCCACTCTGCGAATGATGCCAATCGCACTGGTGCTGCACAGGAGGTAGTCTATGCGGACCCTTCCTTGCCAGCGTCGCATGTGTATTCAACTGGGGCCGTCGCAATATGCGCTCCAAGTTTAGACGCGAACTGAGAATGAAAAAGAGCGGCCGCTGAGATGTTGAAGTCGCCGACAACGGTCCACGGCAACTGGGGCGCTCGAAGGGGTCCTCCGAGGCGGCGGTATCGAAGAAGGTTCTCCCCCGAGAACCCGATCCCGCTCCAACCGTAGAAACTGATGAGGGCGAACGAGAACCCGCGCATGTGGACCACCACTGGTACCATGCCGTCCAATTGCTGAGAATTGTCTTGATTGAGATCGGGCATGTTGGCTAGCTCGAGTAAATGAATTCCGAGGTGGCCCTTGGACAAGATCCACTCACCTCCCTCATTCGCCCTCGCCTCACGCCCTCCAGCAACCTGGCGCTGCCGTTCCCCACTACGTGCTGCATTGTGAAACAACCGAAGCCCCTGACTGCAAGCTTTGATATCCCAAGGTTTGGTATCGACTGCGTTGGCGTGGGTCTCAACGAAAGCGAACATGTCCGTCGCGCGCCTCTGCTGTGCTACCCATTGCCAAACTTTGTCACTCATGCGCGTAACATTCCCGAAGTTGAGAGTGGCATGAGGCCCCCCATCATCATCGTCAGGACTCGACTGCGATTCAAACAAAGATGGCCCAGCCGCCGCAGAGGAAGGTGGATGGGGGGGGAGGCTCGGATACTTCACCAGGTCCCCGAAATAGCCGCGGTGGTCCAGGAGCCGAACGAGAAGAGGAATAATCTGGTAGGCCATGACACCCTTGCGGCGCCTGACCTGGCCCACCCAGTGGCTCAGACGCGCTCGATGATTCTCGCTCCGAGTAGGGCGCGCAGCCCTTTCCCCCCGCCTTGGCCGTCGCCCCCTTGCCCTTGGCCTCGGCAGCCACGAAATTGGCGCGGGATATGCGTTCAGCCTCGTCTCGCACAGCAGCAGCTCGAACCTCCTTGGCCTCCTTCCCCTCCTGGCTCACCGTCTCCTCCGAGGTAGTCTGGCCAGGAGCTCCAGGGGCATGTCCAGCCTGCTGCGGCGGGGCCTCGTCCTTCTTCTCCTCGTTCTCGGCGGCGTTCGAGGTGTCGGACCGCCTCTTCTTCTTCATCCTCTCGGTGACTGCCTGGCGCAGGTCGGTAGCCTCCTTCAGCCACTTCTTGACCTGCTCCTCGCGGTTGGTGAGGAGATCCTTGGCCTGCGGGAGCTCAGACTTCAGCTTATCCATCTCGCCTCGCTCGGACCCCTCGAAATCCTCCAGGTTAACAAAGATGCTGGCATCCCAAGACAGGTTGAATAATCTAGACCCGTTCCCATCCTTGGGACAGGAGTCGGCCTCGGCAACGCCCTCCACCTGAGCGAGACGCTTGGCTGCAGCCTGCTTGTTCAAGGTGGCCTCGGCGAGGGCAGTGGCCGCTGTGACCTCCTTGTCCTCAGCGACGGCGAGCTGCCTGAGCCTCATGACTGACTTCACCGACTGATTGTGCTTGTGCTCGGCATCACGCCATGAAGAATCAGCACGTCGTACTGCCTCTGCTGCAGATTCCTAGACTACGGGCGCCTGCGACTCGCTCTCGAGCTTAGCCAGCTCTGCCTGAAGGGTGTCTCGCAACTTCGGGTCGGTGGCAGCTGCTATGGCATACGCCAGGAGATCCTTCACCGACGGGGGCTTCGCCGTGCTCTGCGCAACTGAACCTTTTCAAAATAGACTTCCCAGGTCTGAGCAACTGGTTCCTGCCAACGTCGAAGGATACACTCTTGGGCAATTTGGACCTGGCACGACGGAGGCGAACCTGCTGCCCACACTTCTTACATACTCTGCCATTGTCCTCAAGAATGTGGTTCCATTCGCACGTTTTGCAGTTGGTGCACCTGCTCCAGACCCTGGATGATACGCTCGACATGTGACTATGCGGATACTATAGACTATGTCCTGCTTCGCCAACGCGGTAGCAATCTCGTTCGCGACCGCGATGCCACTCAAGCACCACGCTGAGGTGCAGGACTAGAACTCTGGAGGCACGGTGGGTAGGCAAGAAAGGAAAGGTTGCCCCAGTCCCCGCCCCACCTGCAAGAGCCCCAATTGCTTGAGCCAAGAGAGAGGGGGGGAGGGGGGAAATCCTGGCCGGCGGCACTTGCGCGGCCCAAGGGGGGGTCAGGGACGTCATGAAAAAAAAAGAGGCACCATGAAATCTGAGGAGCTATCGTGGCCCACGCCAGGATATCCCCTCCCTAGTCATCAGCCCCCTCTTTGCCGCCCCCAAACCGACCATTGCCTTTCCTTTTCTTTGGTGTCTGTTCCATGGTAGCCTGGGTGGCCCCCAGCACTGTCCAATGTGGGCCTGATTTGGACCGGACTTGAAACAAATTTGGACCGGAATTTAGACCAGACTTGGACTGGATTCGTGGGGGCTTGGAGAACGAGGAGGGAGAGGGGGAACAGGAATGCGGTCCACGCGCGGTCCACACGCAGGAAAAGCTGATTTCAGCGTCGCCGCCCAAGGCTCCCATGAACAGACATCGAACTTTTCCTCCTCGGCCAGCCAGTCGGTCAGACTGCGGGCCAGCCCGATGCGAGGCGTCCTCCAAGCCAGGGCACCGGGAGAAACGACGAGCGACACGGGAGCGCCCGCGCTCGAGGGCCGGCCGTCCCCCCTTCCTGCGCGGGTGCCTGTGCGCCAGGGCCTCTGGGGGCCCCCCGGGGGAGACTCTGGCGGACCTAGCCTCGAACTTATCCCTATGCCTGAGATTGACAGGCCAAAAGGCGATGACAATCTTAGGGATGCACCCTCAGAAACTGAGGGAATCCCTACGATCGCCATCGTGACGAGGCGATGCCCAACATGGGATAGGGATAGGTTCCAGGCTGGTAAGGACCTCTCTCCGGAGGCCTGCAGGGGCGGCAAAGGAAGAACAAGGACCACACACGCATAACCTCGCAACGCTCCGCGCGGAGTTCTTGGACTCGCGCTGGACCCCCCTCCCTGGCGCGCGCGGAGCGCGCCAGGGGCAGCGCTGGAGGCGCCGACGGGGGGGTCCAAGGCCCGCGGATCCAAGAAAACCGCACGGAGCGCCAAAAATTTCTGTTCATGTGGTTGCTTGTCCTTCGAACCGGGGGGGGGGAATCTGGAGGGGAGGGAAAGCTGTGGGTCGGCGGTGGACAAATCTCCCTTTAGTAGACCTCCCCTTAGTGAAAACGGGCTGGGTGGGACCGAAACCGACGGACCTGGACCCGCAAAAATGACGGCCGCGACGCCCTCTCGCGAACCGAAAACGGCCAATTCCTGAATCGACGTGTCAGGGTAGGAGGTCTGTCCACCTCCGAGTTTCTCCTTCGAGCCGGGGGGGGGGGGGGGAGTCTGGAGGGGAGGGAAAGCTGTGGGAGGCCCTGCGGCCCTCGCGCTGCCTTATAGGCCGCCGAGCGAGAACCGCCGGGCTGCTCCTGGCCACGGCGAGCCTCGGCCACGCGCAGGTCCCCTGGCCTGCGCAGGTCTACCGTCCAAAACCCTGATACGGACGCGCGGTAAGGACGCAGGACCCTTGGAAGCCGAAGTTGGGGGTTTCTGGAGCGGCGGACGGCGAAAACCCCAAGGACGCAAAGAGCAAGGAAGAGCAAGGACGCCAGGGTACCCTGAGCAAAGTCGCGCGCCCTCATGAGGGCTTTTGGCTCTAAGGGGCGGCCCGCCCCCCGAGCCCCAGGGTGGTCCTTCCAGCAGCGTCCTGGCCGCAGACGGGTTTCCAGCAGGCGCCAGGGGGCGGACAAACCTCCCTTTAGTAGACCTCCCCTTAGTGAAAACGGGCTGGGACCGAAACCGACGGACCTGGACCCGCAGAAATGAAGGCCGCGACGCCCTCCCACGAACCGAAACAAAAAGTGCCTGCAGGAGGCTGCAGTGGGGGAACAAAAAGTGACATAAACACAAAACTCGGAGGTCCGCGCGAATTTCTCGGAACGGCGCTAGGGCCCTCCGGCGGCGCCTCCGGCGCCGCCCCTGGCGCGCTCCGCGCGCCAGGGAGGGGGGTCCAGCGCCGATCCGAGAAATCCGCGCGGACCTCCGAGTTTTTATGTTTATGTCACTTTTTGTTCCCCCTATGCAGGGACTCCGGTGCCTCGAGGGGTCCCCTCGCCATCCATCCTGTGGTCCTGGCCGCCAGAAGGAGCCGGGAGCAGGGCGGAGAAGCCCGGCTGATGGGCAGAGGCTGTGCTGCACTGCGCGCGGAGCGCGCCAGGGGCGGCGCTGCAGGCGCCTCCAGGGGAGGAACGTGCATCGCCGACCTCAGGAATCCGCGTGGACCTCCGAATGGATGGGCCTATTCTGCGCCAGGGACGCCGGCATCCTCTCTCATGGGCAGCAGCACGGGTGGCACTGAAGGCCGGGGTCACACTCCCGTAGACCACTCTTGCCACACCTCCTCCCTTCCCTGCTATTCCCCGTCGGTTTCTGACGTCCCACCTCGCGCGTCCCCATCATCCTGGTCCCGCTCAACCATTCTCACCCTTCCGCGTCCTCCACCTCCACCCACACCTCTTCACCCTTCACCTCTCTAAAGATTCCTATCCCTTCCTGTTCCTCCTCCTGGTCCTCGTCGTCCTCCTCCCCCCCCTCCTTCTTCTCTATCCTCCCCGTCCTCCTCCTCGTCCTCCTCCTCGTCCTCCTCCTCGTCCTCCTCCTCGTCCTCTCGCCCTCATCTCCTCGTCCTCCTCGTCCCCCTCCTCTCCTTGTACTGGGCAATGACCTTGTCCACCGCGTCCGTGCTGTCGAAGGTGACAAAACCGAAGCCGCGGCTGTTGCCGGTGTCGCGGTCCTTCCGCCAGCGGAGGGGGGAGTGGCCGAGGGCAGGGAGGAAGGATCGTGTCGGGCCGCTGGGAAGCAGAGGCAAGAATTAGGTCGGGCATGTCCCCACACAGGGGAACTATGGACGACGAAAAAGAGATAGTCAAAACAGACTCCAAACATATTCAAACAACAACTGGAAAAAAAAACGTTCCCTGGGGATGTTTTGGCCATGTTTGAACTATCATTATGTAGAGGGACGTGCCCAACTTGAGGCAAGAGCGGAAGAAGGAAGCGCAGACCGCCCAGCTCTCGAAGCTGGAGGGCGCAGGCCCGGGACTCGGAGGACGAGCCCAGCGCGACCCCGATTGCGGGCGGGCTTCCCCTGCACGGGCGCATCGCTCGGCGCTGCTCAGCTCTGCTTGGCAGTTCGCCGAGCGCATTCCACTACTCGCAAAGTGCCTACTCGCAAACGTCCGAACAACACCTGTCTGCATCGATGTAGTTGATCGTAAATCTCCCATGGCGGATCCAGGCCATGTGCGAGTAGTGGCTCCGCGAGTAGCGGAACGCGCTCCTCGAGCAATGCTTGGAACTGGTTGGCACTGCTTGTCGCTGCTTTGCATGCATTCGCGTTGCCTCGCGTTGCTTGGCGCCGCTTGGCATTGCTTGGCCATGCCGGGGAAAGCGGAGAACCCGAGCCAAGGACACGACGGAACCCTGGGAGCAAAACCGGGGACTCCTTGGAAGGAAGGCAAGGATCAAGACCAGGGGACCCAAGGCTCTTGCAAACAAACAACACCAAAAAGCCCTGGGGAACATCATGGTGAGAGAAAACAGGGTCTGGGAACCCTCAGGACCCCCAGCGCGACCGGGTCCGGCACCCACCAATGTCTTCAGCAGTTACCAAGAAGCCCTCAGGCAGAGCTTGCAGAAAGATAGTTGTTTCCGACGAACGATGGGCACGTACCTGCAATATAATTGAACAGGGACCGACCGTCCCGGCATTCCTATAGGCCTACCACGACATGTTCTTGGGACCCAAACGTGTTCGAAGAACAAGGACAAACTTCTTAGAACATAAGCCCCTCAGGTTAGACAAACCACTCTCAGCCAGAAATGTTCTAAGAACCTTTCGTGCAGACCACACAGGGTTCTCAGAACATTCTTTGGTGGGCCCTAGAGGCGAGCCAGGACGCATCGCCACTGCTTGAAATAAAGCACCACGTCGAACCTCTGCCCCACTGCCGATTGGGCCCGCGCCGCACAGCAGCTCCCTGCCGTGTCGGCGTGGGCTCTGTTGACTTTCTCTGCGGCCGCGCGGGTCGTGTTCGGTCCCGAGCGGGACATCCCCGCTGCCGGGGCCCCCAGGGAACGCAAACGGGCCGCCCGCCGACGAGCCCAGTCATGATCGCGTCGTTAACACATCAGGACGGGAAATTCTTGGCCAATCTCCGCCTCGGGGGGGCCTCGCCGGGCCTCGGGACCGTCAACAAAAACGCTTCGGGATGAAAAACCGGCCCCGGGGAAGGGGTCGGGACTTCTGGGGACCCCGCACCGAACAGCATCAGGGCGTCGCATGTCTGGGAGGGGCCTCGCTGGACTGCAGGTCGTCGGTAGGGCATGTCCTCCTACAAGCCGACTTTGGACGAAAAAATAAACAATAGGCAGAAAATGCACCCAATATGTTCAAACATACTCAAAAAGTCGTTCCCAGACTATGTTTCACTATTTTGGCATATTCCTCCTGTAGAAGGAGAGATGCCCGACTTAAGACGACTCTTGAGGAGCGCAGAAGGGGGGGGGGGGGGGGGCCCTCGGAGGCCCCCGTCGCCCAGGCAGCCGCAGAGCTTGGAGATCGGAGAGAGGAGGGGAGGAAGAGGAACACGAGCAGGACTAGCTGGCAATGCAAGAACCCCTAACCCTTTGGGAGGGGACCCTGACTTAGCAGGGACGCACACGTCGGTCGGAAGAAGCAGGTAAACACATGAAGTAGGAAGGCGAATTAAGTTGATTGGGTCCAGGCCCCCCCAGGGAATAACAAAATACAGCAAAAGCGTATCGACTATTGAAGTAGGAAGGCGCTTGAAGTAGATTGGGATCTAAGAATCCCAAACATTTCTACTTTCAACGACCAGCGTGTTAAGCATTCCTCCTGTAGAGGGACACGCCCGACTCGATGCAAGTCCGAGATCCCGCGCGATCGCACCGCCGCCGCGCCGAGCGGCGCGCGCCTGCCGCACCCAGCTCGGGGCGACGCAGGCAGGACTTGGGCTCGGGGGACCCTCCTCCTCATACGAAAGCTCTACATGAACATCATCCTCCGCATCCGGCACCGCGCACTACTCATCACTCCAGATCAATCCCACTCCTCTCCTCCTCTCCTTCCTCCTTCTCCTCCTCCTCCTCCTCCTCCACCCTTCCTTCCTCCTACTCCTTATCCCCCCCCTCCTCCTCCTCCTCTCCTCCGCCTCCTCCTCCGCTCCTCCTCCTCCTCCTCCTCACACTCCCCCTTCCCATCCCCCTCCCCCATCTCACCTCCCCCTCCCCCTCCCCCTCACACTCCCCATCCAGGCCCTCGTCATCGCCCTCCTCCTCCTCCTCCTCCTGCTCTTCCTCCTCATCCTCCTCCTTGGCTCGGTTGGCTCGACGGGGCCATCATGAAAATGACGAGACCGAAGTCAAAATCTGACGCGAGCTCCCGCCGCAGACGGCTCACAAAGGCCGGAACGTCAACATGTGGAACGCGCTCGTCAGAAAGCGTCGGCAGTCCCGAGCTCTGGCGTACTCGAGTCTCACGTGCATGCACACCAGGAGGAGGAGGAGGAGGACGACGATGAGGAGGACGAGGAGGAGGAGGAGGCGGAGGAGGAGATGGAGGAGGAGGCGGAGGCGGAGGAGTGCACTGCTTGCGATCCAAGTACACATTCGAGGACACTCCTGCATGCACGTACTTCATGCCCGGTTCGCGCGCCGCGCCCCCCCAGTGCACGGGGGGCGCGCGGCTCTGCCTCGCGCCGCGGCGCGCTCGCGCCGCCCCTCCCGGAGGGGAGCGCGGCCGCTCCGGCCCAGACCGCGGTGCCGCGGCGCGAGGCGCGGCTGTCTTCGCGCGCCCGCGGGTGCACACAGCGCTTTCTTATTCGGAGTTTCGACGTTGGGCATAAGAATCGAAACTCCTCCCCCTTCTCCTCCTCCTCCTCCTCCTCCTCCTCCTCCTCCTCCTCCCCCTCCTCCTCATCCTCCTCCTCCTCCCCCCTCCTCCTCATCCTCCTCCTCCGAGCAGCTTGGAGCGTGCGCGCGTGGGGAGACACAGGCATGACTGAGCGACAAGTGAAAGGACAGCTCGTGCATCGACCCTCCTTGAGAGGACGTCGATGCTGCTCCAGCGCCACCTGGCTAACCAGAGAGGGTAGGTGAGCGTTTTCCTTTCAGAGTTTCGACATTGGGCGGAAGGGGGTGGATGGGGGGGTTCTGGCTCTGGACCTCTGCTGAGTGCGACTTTCTGCAGCAGTGCGTCCATTATGGGGGGGGACCCCACCTGCTCGAATCAGGCGCCAAAAACAGCCAGGATCTACTCCATGGAGGGGGGGAGGGAGGGGGGGGATGCGAGGGTCCGCGCCGATCGGCAAAACAACAAATGAAAGACGACCACCAGATCAGGGGCGTCAGCATTCGTGAGAGCTTCAATCTTCGGCTTACTGTGGGCCTTTCTTTTCTTCACTGTATATCATCGAACCAAAAGCTGCTAGCAGGTCAGACCTCGACGGTAAAAGAAACTAGAGCTCCACGGTACAAGCCTCGCCCCGACAGGAGGAAGTCTGCTGAGGTGGCTTACCCTTGCGTACTCGGGGAGGTTTCGCCTTCCTCTTGGCCGCAAGATCTGATGTGTCGGGCGCCCCTCAGGGTCGCCGCGCCGAGAGAGCGGTGGCTCGATGAGGAAGACAGGCCAAGCGACGTACCGAACCGAGGCGTCAGATGGTGAGAAGGAGGAGGGCGAGACAGAAGGACAAGATGTGCGTGTGCTTCCTTCATCACGACAATGTCCACGATCTTACCAAACGTCTGGAAATAGTCACGGAAGACATCCTCCGAACAATTCTGTGGCAGGCCGCCTACAAATCCGCTGGCCCCCAGCGGTGCCAGGGGACGGGACACCTGTGGGACATCCGGCCATTGCTGCGCAGTGCACCCGCCGATGAGGAACGAAAAGGGGGTGGAATGAGAGAGGGGGAGACATGGAGAGGGGGAGGGGAGAAGAGGACGGGGAGAAGATGGAGGAGGAGGAGGATGGATGGGCACACTGGGAGCTACAGTCGAGCTTGACCGGAGAAGACACGCTGGAGGCCAAACGACCCTCCCGAAGGCCACATCGCCACAGGAAGGTAAAGGCAGGGGTCGCCGGCTAAAAAACACAGGACACAAAGGGTGCCCTAGATTTGCCAGGAACGACCTACTAATCGAA